ACTCACAATCAATCAATCAATCAAACCCCTTTTTTGAAGTTTTTTCTTTCTTTATTTTCAAATTTTGCGTCTGATTTTTTTTAAAACACCTCATACCCCTGCAAAAAATAGCAATTCATTTTTAAAAAAATACAGGTAAACTCAGGGACCATATATCTCATGATAAAAATGACAAAAAAAAAATCCAGCTTTTCTTTATATATATATTTTTTATTTTTTTTTAAATCGAATTTACGTTTTTGATTTTTTTTAAATCCTAAACAAAGTAGAATTTAACCTATTATTTAATTCAGGAAAATTCTGGTAAAATCAGGTCCGCAGCGCGGACCAGGTCGGCCGTGGACCAGGTCGGCCGCGGACGCGGCCCCATCTGCGTCTGCCATCCGAGATCGGACCCGCGGACAGGTCCGCAGATGTTTCATAGTTCCACGGGCATGCACATCATATCGAATGGGCACTTGGGGCGTTGCAGGATGCTGGCTTCAAGATAACATTGGAGAAAAGTGAGTTTTTCTTTTCGGAAATCTCGTTCCTGGGATACGTGGTGACCCGGAGAGGCTTACAACCGGATTCGAGAAAGGTCGCGGTCGTTCGAGACGCCCCCACACCTACATCGTTGACGCAGGTCCGGGCCTTTTTAGGGCTGGCCTCGTACTACCACCGATTTATCAAGGGATTCTTAGCAATCGGGCGACCTCTAACGAATCTTCTAAGGAAGGACCAGCCGCTGAGTTGGGATGCCGAGTGTGAACGGGCCTTTGTCACCTTAAAGGAGGCTTTGGCCACAACGCCTATTTTCATTCAGCCTGACCCGGAGAAACAATTCATACTCATTACGAACTGGCAACCCGAAGCAATCTCCGCTATTTTGGGTTAGAAGGGGAAAGACGGCCGCGAACACGTCATCGAGTACACTTCGCGAACGGTATCGGACGAGAGAAGAAACGATTTGAATCCTCAGGGAGAGTGTTAAGCGGTTGTTTGGATGATTCAACACTTCCATCCATATTTGTACAGATAGAAGTTCCTCCTTGTCACGGACCATGAGCCCCTGCTAGCTCTCAAGAGGCTTACCAACTACACGGGCATGATCGGACGTTGGGCTGTGCGGCTACAAGAATACGATTTCGATATCGTCCACTGGAAGAAAGAGAAGCACGGTAACGCTGGCGGACTGACACGCTTGCACCGGCCTAGCAAGGTGGCCAAGGGCGAAGAGATCACACCGTGGAAGGAACCAGAACCAACCGGCGAGCCCTCGTACGAACAGGTGGCCATCCTCCCTCGAACCTGTAAGAAGTGATCGACAGACACACTGGCGATGGGGCATGGAGGTAATCCCGAAGGTCCTCTTTCTCCTCTCTCGTCTCCCTCTTTTCTCTCCCTACTCGACAAATTTTGCTATTTTTGCGAAGCAATCTCGAGAGTCTACTCGGTCCCTATACGTCCTAGTGGGGAAAGGTATGTCTAGTCGGTAGACTGTCAGCGGTGTGTCTCCCGAGCTCACGGTTCCTGCATCCAGTATAAAAATATGGCTAAATCCTGGTTATGTCCCTTGTGCCGCACTGATCAAATTCTGACGGAAGCTCGATTTCTCGAAGCCACGTTGGAAGGGTTGGAAAAGACCTGACGACTTAGAAGGGCTGAGGTATGGACAAATGTCGTCTTGATAGCTACGGTGGTTGGGAACTCCCTCCGAGACTTCACTAAGGAGGACCGGAGGAGGGCCAATGAGAGGGCAAGGGACTACCGATGGAATGAGGGACGGTTAGAAAAGAGAAAGACAAATGGTAGTGGGATTTGGATGTCTGTGCCTCATCCGTTCATGATGTATGGCTGGGTTAAGTCGGCCCGCGAGGAAATTGCGGCTCACTTCGTCGTTCGGATCACGGAGGCGGCGATCGATAAAAACGAATGGTATTGGTCCAATATTCGCTATGATGTTAAATTCATCGTCCGAAACTATCCCGCCTGTGCCGCCGACAATACGTCGATTCAACCGCCTAGATAGATAGTGCCCACCATAGTCGAACGGTCGTGCTAGAGAGTCAACATGAATACCACAGATATTGTCATGCGCCATGACCAAATAGCTGTGAATTTTGGTGTTTGTCGATCACTTTTTGAAATGGACTGCAGCGTATCCTTGTAAGACGCAACAAGCGGTGGAGATCGCGCGGTATGTCAACCGTTTTCTCAGGATGCATCAGGATACAGAAGAGATCTTAACAGACATCGAGGCAGAATTCTGAGGGGAAGTCTTGAGGAATCTGGTCCTACATGGTGTCTCTGTCCGCAATACTACTCCCCATATGTCTTAATGGAACGGACTGGTAGAAAGCGCCAACCGAGTAATTAAAACAACATTATGGCATAATATCGCGGTGCATGATACAAGGCCTTGGCCCGATATATCGTAGGCCACATCCTAGCAATTCATCGAGGGACACCCCACGAGTCTACCGGCCTGAACCCCTTCCAGTTACGGACCAATAGTGCGGCCTATGTAGCCCTACCGAGCCTAAATGATGAAACGACCCTTCCGCGACGGGCCACTAGAGCGACAGTCAAAGATAAGGCCCAACGCCACCTGGAATCAATGGAAAAGGCCCTCCCCCGATTAGCCCGAAAAAGACAAAGAATGACTGAAAGCATTGTGAAATGGCCCACGGACGACAAATCCGGAGTTACGAGGCCCAAAATGGGAATGCTGGACCTCGGCCCCAGTATAAATTAGGGGACATAGTGCAAGTGAGGAAATGTGTTCGCTAGGGTAAGCTAGCACCACGATTCGTCGGGCGATTTTGCGTAGTCGAGCTTGCCGCTCGGTCCTAGCGGAGTGAACACGGTGCGGCTTGCGCCGGAGGTGTCAGGAAGTCGATCGGTTCGCCCGATCATTCGACACGTGTCCTACCTTCGTCCTCTCCCATCTTCCCCTTCTCTTCCGTCATCCGCGTCGTCCCTCGACCGCGAGGAGGAAGACGACCACCTCGACTACCTTGATCCCTCTTCTTCTCAGCCCTCGTCTCCCTCGCCATCACCATGAGCTTTTCCGTCGAACAAGTCACCAACGAGCGGCTAATGGTACCCGGGGGTGCCATCTCTGCAATCCAGCAAGTGCAGCGTCCTCAACTGAGTCCAGATCTTCTTCGATTCGCGATTGTCTTTAGTACAACTGCCATCCACGTGGCGACGGAGTTCCGATTGACGCAGGACGAGGCGACACTTGTATTGGCCGAGGTGTCGGTCTTCCTACGCGTGTCTCCACCTGGTGAGAGCCACATATCCGTCATTGTCGTCTTCATAGGCGACATCACGACGCTGCATCCGGCGAGGCATACCGAGATCTTCCGACAGCTCCGGGGCTGGGCAACAAACATCACGACTGCATGGGTGCGATTGCTGGCTCGGTCGCACGATCGCCTCGTGACAGCCAATGACGTCGATCTCCAGCTTCGGGTCTCCTCCACCGCGCTAGAGGTCCTCCTCTTGGAGCTTCGTCCTTTCGCCCCGCCTCAATGAACCGTTACCGCCTCTCCACCTTTGGCTTCCCATCTGATATTCCTACGTTTTGGCAGTCTGCTGTGGACGCCGCTCTATCCTTCAGAATCAGGGAGTTCGATGTGTCGATTCTGGACGCGACCAAGTGGGCAGAGTGGTGGCACGCTTACATGGCACTAAGCTTCTACCTCCTCGAAGTCGTCTTCCATTGGGCAAAGCCTACTGACAAGAGTAAGGAGGACGAGATATTGGACGACGAGGTGGAGTTATTGATTATTCAAGTCTGGAGAACGGACAAAGAGGGAGAGCTTCTGGGGATCCTGTTTAGAGAAGTGCGAGATGGCCACCTGGATTCGATTACGGACAAGTCGTTGATGTTTTTGGCCCAACTACTGGACGATCTGCCTTTGGAGATCCTCTCGCGCTCCGACGAGAGGCCGGGGACGGGCACGCTCGCTCGTACCTTGGTCCCCCATCTCTTGTGGTCTACGTGCATGGAGCTTGACGGGGATAACTGCCGCTACCCCTCTGAGGGCGCTTACCTGGTCATCGACGTCACCGATCTTTCCTTCTGGGACCCTCTCATCTGACGAGTGAACGTAGGAGAAACCAGCGAGGAAACCGGAGAGGAGAAAGAGGAAGAAGGAGCAACCGAGGAGGAGATCTCCGAGGTCGATCATCTTCAGTACACGAAAGGAGAGGAAACGCTTGAGGAGGAGGAATCAGAGGTTGGGTCGGATGATCCCGATTATCACGAATCGGAGGACACCGAGTCAGAAGAGGCCAGCTCGGGACGGGAGGAGTATGAGGAGGGAGAGGGCGGATCGGGTGAATTGAGTGGTCCTGCCGAGCTGAGGAGGGAGGAGAAAGAGGTCGTGGCGCAAAGAAGACGGGCAGCGACGGAAGGCAAGTGGCCGATCGAGGAATCAGAAGGGCCGCCACCGCAACTGCTGCAGGGCGATCCGATGCTTAATCCAGAGCTGCCACAGGAGGAGATCGAGAGAAATGGAGGTGCCACTGCAGAGGGATCAGGGAGCAGACGCCGCCGAAAAAGTGAATCACCGGCTCAATCCTCTCCACGGCCCAGCCTTCGCCTACGTCGAGATGCGGGCGCTCGGGCTTCGTCCCCGATCATTATACCGTCGTCCCCGTGACTTCCTCACCCTTCAGCAGCTCATAGGCCGACCCCCATTCCCTGACAGGCTACGTGGCATCATCGGTCGCGGATCCTGCGGCCTCGTCCGCGGCCGAGGAGGCCGACCGCGGGTCCGTGGCCAGGCCGCGCGGCTGACTTTTCGCACGGTCGTGCCACGACCTGGCGGGGGCGCGCACCGAAAATCGACGCGCGCATGCGACTTGCGCACCGCCTCCTCCACAGGGCCACGCAAAACAAAATTAAAAAAAAATATTTTTTAGGGTGGGTGGTTTTCAGGGAGAACAAAAAAAATTAAAAAAAATAAAAAAAGTTCAAAAAATAAAATTCGTTGATTGACTGTTTTTTCTATATTGATTGATTGATTGATTGATTGATTGATTGGTTGGTTGATTGATTGATTGATTGATTGATTGATTGATTGATTGATTGATTGATTGGTTGGTTGGTTGATT